AACCCTAACACCCTAAACCCCAAAACAACCTAAACAGGGCCTGGTCCAGCAGCGCCGCGGCGCTGTGACCGGCGTTGAAACCTGGCCCCAGAGTGAGGGGCGGGGACTTTTTGCCCGGGCATTCCGGGCGAAGGGCGATGGTAACCCTGAGAGGCAACCTCATTTTCAAAAAAAACTCCACGATTATATGAAATTATATGAAATTAAATGCATTGTAACTGTAGGATTTACAGAACGGGCCTTCAGGGCTAAAGGATGTCTTGGGTTTAGTCTGGGAGTGTTCAGATCGGACGCTCCGCACCGGGGATTTTGGTTTCCGCCTCGGAAACGCTCGTTTCAAGTTTAGGGTGTGGGGCCGTGTAGGGGTTTAGGGTTTAGAGTGCCCTGAACCACTGTCGAGCCGAGATCAGGCAGTCAGGGCTGTGACAACACGTGACGGAAAGCTGCAAAAACACCAAACCCTGAGCCCTCAACAGACCCTATCCAAGCCCTACTTCCCAAAGCCTGAGCCCTCAACCGGTTAACCAATGAACCCTAATCTCTTCGCAGATCAGTCGGGCTCCGTTTTTCTATGAGTAAGAGCCCAACCGGCAAGAGCCCAAACCCCACAACTACACACCCCAAACCCTAAACTTCCAAGCTATCCTACACCCATCAGCGGGTTTCTTCCACGTCACGAAGGTTGAGTTTCTGGTGGGAAAGGGACCGTAGAGGAGGCTTGATGGGTCATGTCATGAGCTTTAGAACTGTTTATTACTGTTTACATACGTTGTGATGGATTGATCGAACAACATCTGAATCTGAGGCTCATACACAACAAAGCCAAAAAGGCCCATGTCCCCAAAGTCTGGCGCATGCCTTTGTGGCAAGCCGAACCTCACACCCAACAAGAAGGTCCAAGGCTTAGACTTTCGGCAAGGTTTAGATGTTGAACTTTAGGTTTCGCTGTAGGGGTTAGGGCTTGTACCACACTACGCGGTCCAGGCCCTGGCGAACCCGAAAGTTGCGCCTATTTGGCAAATCTTCAGGCCGCCCGCAAACTGCGGGCTGCCGAAGCGGTGGGCCACGAAGCTGCGAAGGAACTGCGAGGTGCGTCGTCGGATTCGATGTGGAGCTAGTGGTCTTCGGGCATGAGTGGAGCCTACTACCCCTGTAATCCTGCCCCTAACTCAACAGTAGCTGCATGCTCCGATTGGGGTTTGATGGGTTCTTCCAGAACTTTCAAGCCTGAACGAGCGCTTGGCAAGAGTTTCGGGCGTCCGTGTGTCTTGCGGCAAGAAGCAGGATGCGGCAGCCAAAGGCAGATCCTCACCGGAATCCGTTAACGCCACCACCCGGAGAATAGGCTTCAAGGCACGTGAGACGAAACCCTAATCACTAATCCGACATGAACGCCGTATAATCCCTACACCACTACATCACCTTTCTACGATCCAACGCAGACCCTACAGCAGTCCACCTCCAGCTGTTCCGGAGCACAGTGCCCTTCCATGTCCTCCGTAGGGAGTCAGGGGATGTCACCATGTCGGGCTTGAGGGCTATGGGCACAGGGTTCAGGGCTTTAGGAGTTTGACGCGCTGTGAGTTTGGGGCTTTGCGTTGGGAAGGAGCACAAAGTAGCAACAGCAGAGTCGCGTAAACCTTTTCGGCAGCAGGCTGCCGCATCAGAACAAACACGACCCAACTGGCCAAGACATTGGGCCAAGAGATGGAAGCCAACGCACGGCTCCAGCCAACTGCTGGACCGGTGTACCCCCGGTGTCCAAGCGGTATGACAAAAACGAGGGCAACAACGCGCAGCCAACACAAAAAGGATTTTCGTTGTGTCTGAACAGGAAAAGAGGACTGGCAGGGACTGTTGCCTGCCTACCTTCAAGATGGCCTTCGCCACAAAAGGGAAGCCTGATACAGCCAATAACCCTCGAAAAACAACAGCGGACTTCAAAAAGCCGTGGCCACGGAGGCGCCTCCGTCTGAAACTCCGCACAGCCGGCGGCCGCGTCTGTCAGGCCTTGCACGAAGGAGCCTCGGCCACTGGTCCCAGGCCACGACTTCGGGTTGCTTGGGGTCTAAAGCCCATAATAAATAGAATAATTAGGGTTTAGGGTTTAGGGGTTTAGGGTTTTAGGGTTTTAGGGTTTAGGATCCCATAATAAACAGAATAATTACCCGGACTTTATCACACCCTAGAGTAGGATACGCTCGCCCTGAGCTCGAAGGATGGAAGGTGGAAGATCAGATGATCAGAACCATCTGAAGCTCTTGCTGCGATTCCCCGCTCAAACAATGAGAACATTCCACGAGCTGCCCGACAAACGACAGAAGCCCCCTGAATATATTAAATTAAGCCACGAAGCGCAAGAAGGAAAACTTGAAGCTACACCCCTCACATTCGAGCCATGAGCATTTAACCCTGAACTCTGAAACCGTCAGGCGTCTGCGACAGGGGCCTCGATAGGAGTAAGGTTTCGCGACTTTCCCATCAGGACCATAGCGGGGAGAGTTTTGCTCATCATTCCGACCTCCGTATACAACTGCCAATTATACACAGACCTCTACATTACTTGGGTCCGGAGTCCGGAGCCTGGGTCCCTGGCTTGGCTGCAACTTCGGGAGGCGCATCTCCTGCCTTGACACCAGTGCTAGTTAGCTTCCGTGGCATAGAGGGCTTTCGGGTCTGGAATCAGGGTCTTGCGGTACTGGGTTGACGGCATCTTGCTTATCGGCTCCTTCTTTCAGGAGTTCGGTCGGGATGGAGTCCGATGGCGTGGCGGAAGACAAATCGGCACAGCCCAAGGCTCCGAGTGTTCCGCTTTAAGCGAGCCGGCAGGTCATGAGTTTCAGCGCATCAAGCCGGACCGAGAGCTCCCAGTGTGCCTGACGACCCGAGATTAGATCCCCAGCAGCCAAAAAACACAGGCTTTAATCATGCGAAATACTGTTATGGGGCCTATGAGAGTCAGGACACTATACAGATAGCAAGGAGCCCTGAGGGGGTAGTATTGGCAATAATCGGTCCTTTTCTTAGACTCTTGTGCTGCGGCAGATATAGGGCGCGCTCGTGCACACCCGCGGACAAGCACGCGAGATTTGCATGCGTAGCGAGGGAGTATCCGGCTGTAAAGCCCAAGTGCTGCTGCAATACGAAGTCGACAAGTTCAGGACAGCTGCTGCAATACGAAGTCGACAAGTTCAGGACACAGGCAGTCATCATCGGCAAAAGTTGCTATCAACCAGTGCTTCAGGGCATCGAATCCTAATTCGGAGCAACCCTCTTTCCAGTTTTTGGAGTTCGAGGCTCGCTTAATCGAGCTTGCACGTTCAGGCTCTCCCAAACCGAACCGCAAGCCTACTACCCCACCCCCGCCCTCCAACGCGTCCTCCTTGGAGGGTTCCACGCGCCCCTGGACCTGCTGGAGAACGAAGTTGAGGCTCGGGGCTTCGATCTAAAGTCATTCGGCTCAGAGTCTCGGGGGCTTCAGGGGCAGAGTTGGTGTTTGCGTGCGTCGCCATGGAGAGACCCCCAAATCGCTTGAGGGCGTTGGGGCAAGCCGTCTTGCCGCAGGCCTAACCCACATGCCAGGCCCTGTGCCCGGTAGCGCGAGGATAGCGTAGGGCCTTCACAATTGGAGTAGGGTTTCGAGTTTTGCCCAAATTGGGCAAAGGTTAGGCTAACTCAAGTAACACACCTGTAAGAAAGATTTTACCTTAGAGTGTGTGTTGAATGAAACAGTTTTGGAGTCTCTGGCTGTTTCGCGAAATCCTGCAGCCTATCTAACCACGCTTGTAGGTGATATGTTGAGGCTTCAAACCCTTCGACTTCGACCCTCGCTTAGCTTCACCCTGAACGAATCAAAATCAGTGAAGAAGTCTCAAAGAAACAGCTTCCAAGACTGCTCCGGCCTCGGAGGGCGAACGTCTGAAAAAGGGAATCCCGGCACCACGCCTTCAAGGACAAACGACTTCCGCGGGCTCAAGGCATTGGGATTCAGGGTCGGATTACCTGTCACGAGACATGACTCTGATAGCAACCAGACAGATGCATTCGTTCAGACGCATATGTATGTATGTATGTATGTATGTATGTATGTATATATATATGTACATATATAGAGACAGAGAGAGATAGAGAGAGAGAGAGGAGCCAAGGTCAAGACTGAGCGCTTTCATAACTGGCTTGACAGCGCAAGATGGCATATGACCCACTCCTCTGCGACCATGCTGCGTGCTGCAGGCCTGTCAGAGTCAGGCAGTGCCATCGATCCGAACATCGTGACGAGGGTGCCATAACATGTATGGGTCCCTATACATGTCGTACTTAATCCGCAGGTCTTGCTTGTGTGGACGACTCATCACTGCTGTTCAGGTAACACTGTGCAAGGGATGCTAACTTGGAGCCCTGATATGAAATGGGAGAAAATCCTCAAACTTTAGATGGCAAAATAAGCTCTAAACTAAACTTGACACCCACCGGTGCCTGAAAAACTCTGACCTGGAAATCGCAAATGCCTAGACCTTGGCATGTTGCTCTTCGAAACAAGCTCTTGGTTCGGGTCCGGTGCTAGAGGGTTTCGGGGGTCTGCGGATTACGAGTTCAGGCCTAGGCACTCAGACAAGGCTCACCCGAAGCACAGGCGGCTCGCATGGAAGCTGAGGGATATTGAGATCATTAAATGTTGAGTGTTTGCGGTGGGGTTTGGCAGTCGCGAGTGTAAGACTAACCTCAAGCCACCCCTTGCAAATACGAACAGCCCGTTGCACTACCCGGCGACCACCCTCACTAAAACAGCTGACGTTGAACTCAAACAACACGTCAACTCAGCAAGGTCGAAATCACGTATCAGCACAACTTGAAACACTCCGAACACGTCCCGCCTTATCTCCAAATCCGAAGCCCGACAACCCTCATCCTAAACGAGCTTCACATTTCGGTACGAAACTAAACTAGTTAAAAGGATACACCATCGCCAGACCGAGCCCGCACACCTCGCCGCTGCGAGGCACCGGAGGCACAAACAGCGGCCTGAGTTTTCAATCAGGTGACCCTGATTTAGACTGGCAACGGCCTTTTTGGTCCACACTGTTTGCTATTCTCTGTGTGGTGGTTGCATAGTGGGGTCTGGGATTAAGGTTTACAGCCTGCAAGTTCGTGCACCGATATCTCGCATATTCCGAAAACCCATCGTTCGTTCCAGCTGAGGCTGCAGCGCAGACCGGGGGCAGCCACGTCCTGAAAGTGCTCTAGCGCGGCAGATCTGGCAAAATTGTACGAAACGTGAACCTCATCGCTGCCACGCGGGTCCTTGAAGCGTCACATAGGAGCGCTGGCACAGATCGCGATATCCTCGCGGGGCTTCCGAAATCTCGGGCCCTGGAGCAGGCTTTGAGGTGCTGGTTGTGATGCCTTTGTCGGGGAAGGGGAAGGGGACTGTTGCAAGGTCCCGGCCCTCTTTGAAGCTTTGTACGGCTTTCGAGGTTGGATTTTTGATTTTGTACTTTGGATAAAAAGCTTCGCGAGCTTCTGCCCCTAGAGGGGCCCCCACATGGCGCTCCAGACCCTAGCCAAGAGACCATCATCCCGGAACCCTGCAAAAGAAAAGTGCAAATCCTACGAGCTCTGTCCGGCCTGCATTGCATAGGGTTTGAGTTCAGGGTCTGGGAGTTAGGGGTTTAAGGATTAGAAACTTCGGTTTGGAGTTCAGAGTCAGGGCGTTGCACGAAGGGGGGTAAAACGTAGGTGCCCGTCCTCAGCCCTCGTGGTGTGCTAAGACCTTCAAGGACGTGAAACGAATGTAATATAGGGGCCTTAAGAACTAGGGTAAGACTTTGCGGGGAGTGCGCCTGTTATATTAGACCAGAAGTATACAGGGGTTTAAATACAACTATCAAGGTATGATGGGATTACTACTATTTCCGGCCCCGATATTAATCAACCCCAAAACCTGCTTTGGGCCCCCGGTCCTCGGAGACTGAAGGGTGATGGCCGGAGCAAACGGCACAGCTCGCGTTCGCATCTTCGTTCAGGCTACACCTACAACATGTAGACATATATAAACAGATGGATGAACTGCGAAGGTTTTAAGTTGCTTGCTACGGGTATAGACGCCGCTACTCGGTTTTGCAATTGACTGGACTAATTCATTCCGTGCTGTCTCACTTCATGCCGTGCCGAGGATAGCGGAGAGTTGTACGACAAGCTGCTTCAATCTTGCGGTTATAGGATAAAAATGACAAAACAGTACAATGTTCCGGAGTCTTTCGTGGAGCATGATCATATACCAACGATGTTCGAACCACGTTCTGTTCGAGTGCATCTGTTCTCATCCAGGAGGTTGCATGAAGATTCTGAGCTTCTTGATGGCTGGGACAGCGTCGTGGAAGGGCAGCATGTCTGTTCGCGAAGCGTTTCCAAAAGCCTTGCCAAGTCATGCGAACTTACCGCTACAAGTCAACTGGCAAAATCTGACAACCATAGTTGGAATCACGCGGACCATCACAGAACCGTGCTCACGTCAAGTTCCACAGCTGACACAGACGACCATGGCTTGAGACACGCCGGGATTAAATCCCGGTTCCCAGATTTAAACATGTTGCCGCGCTTTGACGCTTGCCTATCGGAGCAACCATCTGCGCAGGACTGACCACCCATCTACTTAGCCGTCCATCTACTCATCGCCCTGACTCATCAATACAACCATCCCTCGCAAATATGGAAGCACCTCGCACTAAACCGCCTTGCGCAGTCATGCAGAGAACCCTGAAAGATAAGGGTAAATTCGGCAAGTTGTTTCCGAACATTACTCTTGCGTAACAGACAAAACTTCCAATTGAACTACCTGTGATGTAAATGTATGCACGCACGAATAGTGATACATGGCCATTATCGAATGCTGACGGACCCAGTGCAACACGCCGCTCTGCCAGTGTTTTCCCAATCAGACTGTTGTCTCGTGTACTGGGCGCCTTCCCAGGAAAGGCACGACCTTGCATCAGCTGCAAATGGGCCAACAAGTTGCAACGGCTAATGCTGAGCGATCGGCCTCGCCGGACTTACATGCATGTTTCCAAACAGTCGCTGACAATTAACCACTCCCTGAAGCCAGGCGCCTCGGATCCCAGCAGACGGCTCCGTTTCTTTCCAGAAGTCACTAGTGGCCAGCATGCCCGCACTGAGTAGTGAGACTTACACCGGTAGAAAGATTGTGGAGCGTACATTGCACAAAGACGGCTCGACAAAATCCAACTCCTTCCAAGAACGAGTTGATCGTTGATCTATGCGGAGACTTGCCTCGAGACTCATCCTACAACCTTTTCAACACCCAAGGCAGGCAAGGGAAGGCCGGCCGACTTACAATGACTGCTTCTTGGCAGGGCCTTGCATGCTATGGCCGAAACCCTGAATGCTACATGCCCCAAAAATCTGATCGTTTATGGCCATCTTGGAAAGATGAACAAGAGGCCTCTAAACGAACCCTCGGGAAGGCCCCGCTCCAGTGTAAATGCTTCACTACTTGCTACCTCTGTTCACCATGACACAACGACGGTGAACATGGCCATTGGGTTTTGGGCTTCGGGTTTAAAGAGACGCTGGACGCTGAGGTTTCAGGCCCCAATCACCTTTCGGAAATGCATTGTCGAGCCACACAACCCCCACAAAATGGGGGAAAAACATCTTGCATGCTTGCTTGTGCAGCGTCACCTTGCGGAAACGTGTTCTCAAGCCATTATCCACTTCTGTGACAACATCTTGCATGCTTGTTTGTGCAAGGTCAGCTTGCTGAAACCTATTGTCAAGCCGCATTATCCACTACTGTGATAACATCTTGCTTGCGTGTTTGTGCTAGCGCATGGATTACTGTCGTGCGTTTCTGCTGTTT